GGGAGGGTCCCTTGGAATGACAGAGAAGCTGGAGAGATGGTGTGGTGTAGTGGTTAAGGTCTTGGACCCATCTATGCAAGACTATTTGAGCTGAACCGAACCCTTCTGCTGGGTGGACACGAGGATTTGCTAGGCTCAAAGACCAGCCCGAATTACTTTTTTGCCTCACGTTGCCCCTTGGCAGCTCTATTCTTCTCACAGCCAGAATGGTTCAGACTGACACGGGATGCAAGCGTGCAGCATTGCGTAAGCCCAGAGGGAGGAGAGAGGATGTTCTGCCTGGGAGATTTGGAAAAATGCAAGCTGACCAGCAAATCTCTGAGAAGCCTTCCCTGTGCTATCACATGCTCTCAGTTTTATCACCATGCCCAGGAGGGCTCTCTTGATCCTTTAATTCTCCCTTTCAGAAGCCCAGTGCTGCTTGCAGGGAGGAGAAGCACCCAACCCAGCTATTGTCAACAGAAGCCCAGAAAGGTGAATGCCAACACTCCCATCCCTGAAGCACCATTGGGCCAGGTCCAAACTCCCAGGGAGGCTGTCATCCGCTGTCTCAGCCCTCTGCCAATTCTTTTGCCACTGTTCCCCTTTCGGAACACCTTGAAGGTCATTGAAACCAGCCCCCTGCCCAACTCATTCCCCAAGGGGAAAGTTTGATCTTGCCTCTTGTAACTTTTTTTCATATTCCCACCCAAACAGCCACATTCCCCCAGATTTGCAGAAAAGGCAGGCAGTGGGAGTCAAATGGAAACTCCATCATTCACAGGAAGGGGCATCATTTAAGGCAAGGCAAGGGAACTGGAGTGGAGACCACTCAGAGGGCACTGCTAGTAGAGCAATAAATATTTTGTGGATGGATATATTGTAGTATTTAGATGCTGCTAGCCCTCAGGGAGCTCAAAGGCGGCAAATATGGGGCAGGTGGGAAGTGAATTGTCGTATTCTCACAGCAACCCTGTGAAGTAGGTTGACCTGAGAGAGACTAGCCCTAAATTGCACTCTGTTCTCTGGTCAATTAGAGACTCGCACTGGATCTTTTCAGACCCAAGCCAGCATTTTAACCATGATCTGATATCCTTAGATAAATAAGCAAATTCCACGAGGCCTGAGCAGGCTCAGAAGAGGCAGTGTAGAAAAGCAAAACCAAGCTGAAATGCTGGATGGAAGTACTTCATACTACAATGTTGTGTTGCAGCTCCTAGTACCGTAGTTCTCCTAGTTTCAACTAATTCCACCGCAGTTTCTTGGGGGTGATGCCTGTCTGCAGTGAATGAAATTAGCAGCACTTGCGGACAGAGCAAAAAGCAATTATATTTTGGAATTCTTGTGGTCTCTGAGATCGGTTCTTGGTTTGTAGATGTTTCATTACCCAACTAGGGAACATCGTCAGTGCAATGTTAGGTAATGAAACATCTGTAACCCAACAACCAAGCTCAGAGACCACCAAAAACTCCACAACTCAACCCTGAGCTACAGATTTTCTCTTCTACTGCAATGATACTTTATTTTAAATTCCAGAATTAGGAGAATTCTCTTTACCGTGCTACACCCTTCTCAGTAGAGCATAGATTTTTATGCATATCAATAGGGCAATGCAAACAAAGGAGAGGAAATCATAGAAGCAATGACAGGTGAACTTTGACAGTCAAGAGTTTAACAGTGCTTCAGAAAAGTGCAAGATTCTCAGTACTTCCAAGGACTTAACAAAAGTCTTGAGGTGTGTAAACAGGGAGATTTTCAAACAATGTACACAGTACTTGTTGTTAAGTAAAGATCAATCTTAGCTGAGCTCTACCTGAGAGACTTCATTTCCTCAACAGTGGGGGAAGATCCAATAAAGTTGAAGATGCACTGGAATAACAGCAGAAAAGCCAGGTGGGGAATTCAAGGGTAGAGAAACAAGAAGGGAAAAAAATAGGAGGGTAGGCTTGTTCCTTTCTAAAACCCAAGATGTCCAGGGGTAAAACAAGAATCCAATGTAAAAACAGAAATATAAAATTTCCACCACAATCCTTAAAGAGAAATGTGACGGTCCTACAACAGATTTTTCCACCGATGGATTAAAATGGATAGCAAATGAACGGATATGATTACATGGGCTGTTTTCTGGGTGAACTCAGGGCCTTGCTTGGATCAGATCCGGTTTCTTATGCAGACCTTCTTGGCAATCCGGTGGTCAGCTGAACTAGTTGTTGACTTCCAGCCTGTAAAAGATGGATCAACCCAGAGGAAGGTGGGAGCCTCATGAGAAACTTAGTCCTAAAAAAGAGGTTTAGCCAAACAGACCTCATTATTATTAAGATGCAGAATTAGCTGAAACAACAAGGAATATTTAAGCAAGGTTGCTACGTTTACACAAGTGTAAGGGTGCATTTTGGGTGTGGTGAACAGTAGGTTGCTATGGAAATACCATTATTATATTCATGTGCAAACTTTTGGGGGGGTTCCATAGTAGGTTGCTATGGAAATACCATTATTATATTCATGTGCAAACTTTTGGGGGATTTTCCACTTGCTTAGAAATCTGCAAATAAGCAAATGTGGATTGGTCAATGGGACTGCAGTGTTCGCAATGCCTTGTGTGAAA